GAGCAGGAGGACAAGCGTGAACACTGATACATGCATCGATATCATTTGCTTATAGTCTTGAATTAGGTTTAAGATCCTGGGTTCTATTCTTCACATTCGAAGAAGCCAGCCTTCAGGCTCGGGGTACTTGTGTAAAGAATGTGTTTGTGATAGTTAAATAAAGCATCTCACCTGTTTCTTCTGCAGCAAAACAACTGAGTAAAGGCACTACAGGGAAATGACAGAACTCGGTGCTTGGTAAACATGCAAGGCTAGGTCTGTATATTTAGAAGGTGTGTAGGCAAGCTCGATCTCCCTGCACCTGAACTACTGAAATAACTGGAATATTGCAGCTTTTTGAAGTGCAGAATGCAGTGGTCAACACTATAGGCCGAACATGCAGACAGTTTTCAGGAATACTGTTGTTTCTTCTCCCTCTTTAACTGTTCCTTTATATGTAAAACATGCATGAAAGTGAAATTGAAGTATGTTATCAAACTGTTATCTTTATGTCGGTACTGAAGCAGCGTAGAGGGTCAAAGTGACTTTGAGGTCTCTGTGCAACGTGGGTGGGTGGAGTTGAGCAGATCACAACTGGATTGGGAGGTAGCATGAGGTAAGCCAGTAACTCAGGAATGGTTTCCCTAATGCTTTTGTAGGCACCTTGGGGCAAGCCTCTAGAAAACGGTCAAGGCATCGAGGTCTGAGGAGCGGTGTGACGGGCCTGAGAGTGGTCGGTTGTTTTGGGAGAGATTGGTCATTATGATGCTCTGGATTTTCAAGCACCATGGGGGACTTTGACTATGAAGTGTTATTTTTGGAAACTAAGTGGAGCCATGGAGGACCGTGCTCTCACAGATGAAGTGCATATTCAACAGCTTTGTATTTTGGTTTTGCAGGTGGCAGAGGGGCATGAGGTGATTAAAGGCACTTCCCATTTAGTGACATGGCTGCTATCGAGGATGGCCATCATGATGGACTGTGACCTGTGGAAGCGTGACAGCTAAGTGGCATGGCAAAAATCTGTGGGTCATGGAGATGATGTGTGTCTAAACATGGGCATAATGGGAGGGTAGTTTGTGGGGAGTCAGTCTCGTGTGGGCAGAGGGAGCAGAGGAAGGGTGATGCCTCGGGTCTGGTTCAGTGTCATAGGAGCTTTTGGCCAGTCTTTCTCATGGCTCATGCTTGGGCTTTGCCATCGGGTCTTTTCTCTGACTCTCCTTCTCGAGCATTCTTCCAGGGGTTTATTCCCTGTGCTGTTGTAGTCATAAGCCTTTGGCCATAAGGCTTTGCAGAGCTGTGGCGTTCTCACACGGCAGGCCATGCCATAGTTTCCGTGCCCTGCATCCTGGGCAGTGTTGTGCTTGCTGTTAGGCTGTGTCTTTTGGCCTGGCATTAGGTCTACCCTGTGTGGTATTCTGGCATCCTTAGGTAATGTTTGTAGAGCGTGTGTATCTGAGGTAATCTGTTGCTTAGCATGGCCTGTTTTTGGGGGTAGCCACCAGCTATTGGCAAGCAGGCTCTAGAGTCTGTCATGTAGTGTTTTGCAGGTGCGGATCCCTGGAACACATCCTCGAGCAACTCATGCCAGAGCGTACCATTAAAAGGGAAGAGGAGTGGGAGCCGCGCACATAGCGAAGTGTCTTCCTCGGCTTTTGGATACGAAGGTTGACGATATAGAATCATGTGGAGCAGCGATGTCATTTAGAGGCATGTGGTGAGGCAGATCCAGGGATGGCTCTGGAATCTGGGTGACCTGCTACTGTGAAATGGATGTATTCTGAGTGAGGGGTGGAATGAGTGGATGTTGAATGAGTGATAGTTTGTGAATGTGTCTAGCTATGGGTGTGTGTATTTTTTATGTTGGGTTCTACTTAAAGTAGAGAGAGCACATTATTGTTTCCATTACAATAAAAAAAAACTTTCCCCCCCGCAAGATGGTTGTCTGCGTCTCTATAGTCTACGGGTTGCTCTAGCCGTCCCGGATGACCACCCCCATGACACTGGAGGACTTCCGGGCTCGGCGGCGACTCTCCGGCCGCCGGCACTCAGTTTCTGTTATACGGGGGTCACTCTAGCCGTCCCGGAGGACCACCCCTATAGTTCTGGAGGACTTCCGGCCTCGGAGGCGACTCTCCAGCCGCCAGCACCCAGTCTCCATAGTCCACGGGTCGCTCTAGCCCTCCCGGAGGACCGTCCGCAATGCCACTGGCTTCCAGAACTGCTGAGATGTATTTTTAAAAGTGCAGCAGCAGCAGCCGTACTTGGCAACTATAAATGCTTTATTTTTACACGATATAAAAATACAGGAACAAAATACTATACAGAAAAATATAAAGTTAAGCAGAGCCTTTCAAGTCTCATTTTTAAGAGGCAAGCCCTGGACTTTAGAAAACAAAATGGTTCTGACACCACTTTGCATCTGAGCAGGATGGATGCTGCTTACCACAGCCAGAGGTGGGCCTAGAGCTACATTTCCAGCACAGGGAACTCGTCTTGCAGCTGCCACCATCCTTGCAAGTTTGCTTTCATTAAAAATAAAACGAAATTAGAAACTTCATTAAAAATAAAATCTTCCTCCATGATCTGACCTGGAGATAGATAAACATTCTCACACGCCTCAGCATACTTTGGGAAGGGAGCTAAGAGCCCGCCTAGCACACAGTCCCTCACCTCTGATCCCACCTGACAGGTTCAGATTTACATCTGCAGCACACATAAAACTGGAAGCTGTCTAGGACCTGCCCATGAGCTGGCAGCTATGACATAGGGCAGGCAAAAGGTCAGTGAAACCCCCAAGTTTCCACCAGTCCCTCAAAGGGAAAAAAAAAAAGACCCCAAAAGCAGCCAGCATACTTTCCCAAGGTACTGCCTGTACACTGCTGTCTTTAGGGAAGGACACCATGGACTGCAGCAGCCAACAGTACAAGAATCATTTCCTCTTTTACCTCTACTTCCCCAGTTTCATCTTCCACAACCAAACCATCCGAGTTGGCTGGTGGGTGAAGCAGGGAAGGGAGAAGGTGAAGGAAATGGGGGCAGAGAATTAAGGAATTAGAGTGCAAATTCTAAGCTCATGGACAAAAAGGCACAGAAGAAAAAGGTTCTCTCTAGCTTTTCCAAACCTGTTCTCTCCATGGCAACAAAACAGGGTCTGTCCTCATCAGGGAATAACTGCCAACTTACTTTGCCCAGACCTTCAAAAGAACACAGGAGCATGTTCTCCAAAGCAGTGAATTGGCTTTTACACCAAGTATCAGCCATGCTAGCGAGATGCCAATATTGCCACCTTTTTGTCACCCAGTAATCACAGCAGGACTCCCCGAGAAAGTGCTGTGGGAGTCTCAGCTCTGCAAGTTCCTCTTATTTTGTTGATTCACAGAAGAGATTTGCAAGTCCTCGTGCTGCATTCAGACTGGGAAAAAAGTGCAGCCACACACGCTGGAGACAGTCCAAGAATTATTGCTGTGCTGAGACAGCTTGTGCACAGCAATAGAAGACTGAAGAGAATTGATTAAAGAAGAAATAGGGGCAGATCTAACAAGGAAGATGGAGGAAGAAGGGAATTACGCCAGCACGTCCCAGTTCCTGCCTCCTGCCAGGAAGATGCCGTAGTGGTTCGGGTCTCCTGTAAGCAGCCCAGGCAGGACAGCAGAGG